TCTATTTTTAGTAGAGATGGAGTTTCACCTTGTTGACCAGGATGGTCTCGATCTCTTGACCTTGTGATCCACCTGCCTCGGCCTCCCAAAGTGCTGGGATTATAGGTGTGAGCCACCGTGCCCGGCCTATACTGTATTGTTAATGGAATAATGACAAGGAAAAAAAGTCTGTGAGTGTTCAATACAGATGCAGCTATCCTTTTTTTGTTTTTTAATATTTTTGACCTGTGGTTGGTTGAATCCACAGATGTGAAACCTGCTGATCCAGAAGGGTAACTGTAGTTAAATTCACACTATTTGCAAACTGAAAAAAATTAATATAAAAACTGGCCTAGAACTGACAAAATTCAAATCTTGGCAAAGACAAATGTGAGATTTCTGTATTAAGATACTTCATATCCTAGAGTGCAGAGGACTTTCATAGAACACAACCCCCTGTAAGGATAAACTAATGGTCAGAAATTACAAAGTCTATAAGAAAATAAATTGCCAAGAGGGAGAATGAGCAGACAGATGTATGTAATAGAATTTCTACCCGAAGAAGTAGAGATAAGAAAACAATCTGAAAGAGACCTTAAATATGTTTAAAATGTTTGTTACTGGCGGAGGGTATCCAGGTTCTTGGCATTTTGAACAAAGAATTGGACAAAACGCACAAATCAACAAATGAAGCGATGAAAGCATAGGTTTATTGAAGTGAAAGTACATTCCACAGAGTGGGAGCGGGCTTGAGCAGGTTCAAGAGATCTGGTTACAGAATTTTCCAGGGTTTAAATACCCTCTAGAGGTTTCCCATTGGTTACTTGATTACACCCTATGTGAATGAAGTAGTGGCCTGCAACCAGTATGATTGGTTATGGAAGGTGACCAGTCTGAGGCTAAAGTGAAGTTACAAAGTTACACTCTATGCAACATCTAATTGGTTGAAGGAGGGGACCAATCAGAGGTGAAATGAAGTTACAAAATTATACCCCTATGTAGTTGAAGACCAGGCAGGGGACCAGTTTGGTTGGTTGTGCATTTTTCCTTTTTTTTTTTTTTCCGAGACAAAGTCTCACTGTGTTACCCAGGCTAGAGTGCAGTGATGCGATCTTGGCTCACTGCAACCTCCACCTCCCAGGTTCAAATGATTCTTTTGCCTCAGCCTCCCAAGTAGCTGGGATGACAGGCATGTGTCACCATGCCCAGGTAATTTTTGTATTTTTAGTAGAGATGGGGTTTCGCCATATTAGCCAGGCTGGTCTTGAACTCCTGACCTCAAGTGATCCACCCGCCTCGGCCTCCCTTTTGATTTAGTTCTAGGGAGTCAGTGCGAATCAGCCTTAGGTTTCCTGCCTCCAGACCTCATGTTCACAAAGATATAGGAATGGAAACCCCAGATAAGAACAGAATAGTATGTAGAGAGAACAGGAAAGTTTGGAGAGGAAGAAAGACAGAACTTTTCCAATGAACAGATATCCTTATTGAAGCAGAAATATATTGAACTGGTTAAACATAGACAAGCCATAGCTAAAGAGAGAAATACTTGGGATATCTGAGGAAGTCACTTAGGATATCTCATAGAGAAATGAAGAGACAGAAATATAAAAGAAAAAAGTACATAAAGGATAGACAGAGAAGCCATGGAATTTGGGTTTCTGAAGCAGAGGCTTCTGAGAACAATACTGGTATCAATTTGTTAGTATACATAATAAACATTGTAAGGGTAGGTTGAGCATGGTGGCTCACACTTGTAATCCTAACATTTGAGGAGACCAAAGTGGATGGATCACTTGAGTCCAGGAGTTTGAGACCAGCCTGGGAAACATAGTGAGACCCCATCTCTATAAAAAAAATTTAAAAATTACCCAGATGTGGTTGCACGCCTATGGACCCAGCTACTTGTGAGGCTGAGGTGTTAGGACCCCTTGAGCCCAGGAGGTTGAGGCTGCAATGTGATCTCACCACTGCATTCCAGCCTGGGCAACAGAGCATGACTCTCTCTCAAAAAAAAAAAAAAAATTGTAAGAGTAAACACTAAAATGACAGAAATATAATGCATAACTTCCAAACCATAGAGGGGAAAAAAGAGGTGGGGCACAGTGGCTCACACCTGTAATCCCTATGCTTTCAGAGGCTGAGGTGAGGGGATCAGTTAAGGCTAGGAGTTTGAGACCAGTCTGGGCACTGGGCAACAGAGTGAGACCCCATGTCTACAAAAAATACAAAAATTAGCCAGGTGTAGTGGTTCTTGCCTGTGAACCCAGCTACTCAGGAGGCTGAAGCAGGAGAATCACTTGACCAGGTTGGGGGAGTAGGGGTGGAGGTTGCAGTGAGCCGAGATAGTGCCATTGCACTCCAACCTGGGTGACAGAACAAAACTCTGTTTCAAAAACAACAACAACAACAAAATTAGCCAGGTGTGGTGGCACGTGCCTGTACTTCCAGCTACTCGGGAGGCTGGCAGGAAGATTGCTTGAACCCAGGAGTTGAAGGCTAACAGTGAGCTGTGATTGTTACCACTGCACCCGGCCTGCACAACAGAATGGGACGCCATCTATTAAAAAACAAAAAAAGGAAAAAATAGATTAAAGAAAACTCAAATAGAAGATACGAAAGAAGAGAAAATATGTTCAAATATATCAATAATTATAATAAATACAAATGGATTAAGCATGCCTATTAAAAGATAGAGATTTTCAGATTGGAATAGGGGATGGGGAGCAAAATAAGGCAGCCAGAGGCTATGTAAAGTGTTATGACTCAGAAAAGCTGAAAGTAAAGAGATGAAGACAGTATACAAAAAAATCTGTCATAGACAGGAGTTCATTGAAACAGTGTTTATAACATGTAAAATGTGAGGAAGGAAACTAAATATCCAATAGGGGAATAGATTTTAAAATTCTAAAGCATTTGTATATAAAAATAATGGAATACTATCCAATACTATTAAAATGGACCAACCGGGATTACATGTTTCAGTATGGATAAATCAAGAAAATACATCGGCGAGAAAAGTATGATATTTATGTTTTCCTAGTGAAAATGTCCCCTTACTTGGCTTTATTGATTTATTTTTCATACAGTTTAACACTAATACCATTTCATATTGTAACAGATCATAGAAAAAGATTTTGTCTTAATTTTTACTCATGCCCTTAAAAACTGAGAACAAAGCAGTAGGTATCAAATGATATTTCCCAGTGAGATTCTAGACCATCTATACAGAAGGCAATACATGGAGAACAGTTTTGGGACCCTGAACCTGTCACTCACCATAAGCTTTAAAGTAGGTTGAAGTAAAAGGAAGAGGGGAGAGCAAATTCTTTTGGATGAAGCAAGAATGCCACTTGGAGAACTTGACTTCAGTACCTGAGATTGGTGGACAGAGATCAGACTATGCCTTGGAAAATCTAAAGACAGAGAGTGGCTGACTGATGTGAAAGAAGTGGGTGCATTGGAAGGGCTATTACTCTCAGAATATTTTGGGACAAAGATATGGGCAAGTGGGGAGAAAATGTTGGCTGGCATGGAGTTGAATGAAAATGGATGGGTTCACGAAGATACTTGGAAGGACGATGGGATCCCTAGAGAGGGCCTGCAGGTTGCCAAAAACAGGAATCAGGGGAGGACTTGTGGGTGGCTGGCAGGAGACAGTACCCACAGTATGGGAACTACAGTGAGAGCTCAACAGTGGGAGCTTTCCAAGGAATGGCAAAAGTAACCTATACAAGAAAAAGAAAGTCAGCTTTCAATGTCTGCCAAGTCCAGGTAGTACTAAAACCTGCTTAGCACAGTATCACTATGTTAAAGTAAGGCTTTTCCTTCCCCTTTCCTCTTTTTCTTCTCCTGGCTTTGAACCTGGAAGGGTCAGAAGCCAACGCAAACAAGCAGACTGGAGAGGAAGAGAAGCAAAGTAGGGGTGACAGGGAAATCAAACACATCCTCTTCCCACCATAGGCTTCTAGGCTGGAAGCAGACACCAGCCAAGGGAGAGAGATAAGACATTTTTGGGTGCTTTTATCAAACTATCATATATAAAATGCATATAGAAAAGTGCACAAATTGCAAGTTACATGAGGAATTTTCACAATAAACACAGCAGCATCCAGATCAAGAAACAATATTATCAGAATCCCAGAATCCCTTTCAGTTTCCTAACTGTGCCCACCTCCCTCGGGTAATACCAATCCAAGATTTTTTGTGTGTGTAGTTATAAAAGGAACTTAAAAGTCTCCCACTTTACTTTTTAAATAATTCTTAGTAGAATAATTTCAACACTATAGAAAAGTTTGCCACACAGTATAAAGAACTTTCCCATCTTCTTTACCCAGATTCCTTAATTGTTAATTTTTTATACTTAATGGAAAGATGCATATCAACTTTAAGGTGGTACATAGTTTCTTCTAAGAAGGGAAGGAGGGGAATGAGTTGGTGCAAGGTACAAAGGGACTTAAACTATAATGTTTTATTATTTTATGTGAAGTGGCAAAATGTTCATTTTTTCCATTATAAATAGTGGGTTACTCTCTGTAACTTTGTATGTGTTTGAAGTTTTAAAAAGTTACTTGAACAAGAGTTTTGAGTCTTATCCTCTAAGAAGTGGGGAACTACTGAAATGTGCTTTTAATTGTTGAAATCAACATGTCTGACTTCTCTGCTTGCTGTTCTTGCCTATGAATTAAGTCACTCTTAAGTGAGCTATAGAGTTTATTCACCTCAGCATTGTTTTTTTCTTCTCATCCTTATTGCCTCTCACTGCTAAGTGCCCAGTGGTGTCTGACAGTGTGAGATTAAAACTTGCACTTTTCCTAATAGATGCACCTCTCTTCCTGATTTGCAGTAAGCCGTACCTGCTTTTATGCAATTATCCATCATTTGGGGCCATCAGATGCACTGTACTTTGGTTCAGGTCATAATCAATAATTCATATGTCAATAGGAGCCCCATTAGCTCAGGTGAAGGCAGATGTCTTTCTAATGAAAATCTCCCATTTTCCAAATGACTTTTCTTTTTTCCAGAGAGTTGTGGTTGTAGAAGACATAAAAAGATGGAAAACTATGCTGGAGCTTCCTGGTCAAACGAAAGAGAATCTCGTTGAAGCCTTACAAGAATTAAAGAAGAAAATACCCTCCAGGGAGGTGTTAAAATCAACAAAGATAGGTATATTCCACTTTATTTTTTAAGAAAGCTTATATTTTGTCTTTTTCTTTCCTTCCTCTCTCCCTCAGACATGAAGTTACCTGCTTTCTCAATGCTTTTCAAACTCTCTCATAAAGGACTGTTGTTTAAAAAATTATCTGTTGGTTGCAGGCCAATACCTTGGTAATATATAATAAAAATTACCAGAAAAATGAAATGAAATATACAAAATACAGCCCCAATTTTCAAAATGAGATTCAACAGATATAGAATTACTCTTGTCAAATTACTGTGAAAGTTTCTAAATGCTTACATTCAATTTATGTACTTAGTTCATGGACTGGAAACTGGCAATAGCATATGGATAACGTTTTGAATGTGCTAGATGCTAGATGTGCAGAAATGAACAAGACATGATTTGTGACCTCAGGAAACTTAGGGGTTGGGCTGGGTACATTAGCTCATGCCTATAATCCCAACACTTTGGGAGGCTGAGGCAGTCAGATCACTTGAGGTCAGGAGTTTGAGACCAGCCTGGACGACATGGGCAAAACCCTGTCTCTACTAAAAATACAAAGATTAGCTAGGTGTGATGGTACATGCTTATAATCTCAACTACTCAGGAGGCTGAGGCATGAGAATTGCTTGAACCTGGGAGGCAGAGGTTGCAGTGAGCCAAGATCATGCCACTGCACTCCAGCCTGGGTAACTGAGACTGTCGCAAATTAAAAAAAAAAAAAGAAGAAGAAGAAGAAAAGAAAAGAAACTTAGGGTTTGGTAGAAGAGACAATCATATAGACAAATGGTAACAGTGAAATATTGTAGGTTATAAATAAAAACGTGTAAATAGTGTTCTGGTTACTATTCTAATCTAAATAAGGGATATACTGGGAACTTCAGAAAAGGCTTCATAAAGGAGTTGACATTTCAGTTACATCTTGATATTATAGCATTGGAGATATTTAAAAGGTAAGTGAGGGACCATGTTGAATTGCCATTTTAGTACAGTACACAACTGTGAATAATATGCAAGGGAGGGCCAACATGTGTTCCTCAAGCTGCTCCCAGTTCCCCTGGGAGTCCAGGACAGTCATTCACAGCTGCTGTTCTTGCCCTCACTAGTGCAGCCATTGCCTTGTCTGCTTCCCCTTGACCTCTTGTTCACGAGAAGCAGGAGAGACAGCAGCTTCAGAACTGGCACTAACAGCTGGGAAGAGCTGTGCAAAATCCCCAAAGGGCCCCCAAGAGTCTTAGTGTTGTACCCCGTAATATAAACCAGAATCTGAGAAAATCAGATGCTTTAAGAATATAAAACCCTACTTTTATAGCCAAGGAGATTCTCCCATCTGCTGCTGGATTTTGTCTTTATAGGTTATAATCACTAGGGGGCAATAAGACCATTCATATGAGCAGATAAAGTATTTCCACCAGCAGAGGGTACTAGTGATTAATATTTCATAACATGTACATATATGTACATATGCATATGTATATGGTTAAGCACATTCCACAAATACCATATATGATCATAACTTAAATATCAACATAATAGTCTAGATTTGAAGATTTTAAGATTATAATTAAAAAATATAATTTCTATTTGGTGTTTGAATACAATTATGAGTATGCTTTCAAGAATGGATATTTCTAATGTTCGGAGATTTCAATTCAAGGATCCTAATGCAACCACGACAGGGCTTAAGTTAGGAGGAACTGGAAACCATCTAACTTTGAGTCTTTTTCTTTTTTTTGAGGCGGAGTCTCACTCTGTCGCCTGGGCTGGAGTGCAGTGGCACATCTTGGTTCACTGCAATCTCTGGCTGCTGGGTTCGAGCAATTCTTCTGCTTCAGCCTCTCAAGTAGCTGGGATTAGTGGGCCCACCTACTATGCCCAGCTAATCTTTGTATTTCTTGTAGAGATGGGGTTTCACCACGTTGGCCAGGTTGGTCTCGAATTTCTGACCTCATTATTTGCCTGCCTCGGCCTCCCAAAGAACTGGGATTATAGGCGTGAGCCATGATGCCTGGCCTTGAGCCTTGACTATCCGAAGTCTCCCCTAAACCTGAGGTTATATGGAATATAGGAGTTTCTTGGTTTCTTTATAGTTACAACTGATGTTGTATAGCACAGCAACTGTGCTATGCTGAAGATTTCATTTGGATCATTGCCTGAGAATGTTTACACTCTTCAACCTTTGGTCTTCCTGCCTGTTCCTATCCTTGGTTATAAGGGACAAATATTTACTGAGTATCTTTTCTGTGTTGGGAACTATATAGGCATAATAATGAAGGAGACAGATATTGTCCTGCCTTATTGGAGCTTTAAATCTAATAGTTTAACAAGACTTCATCATGCAATGCGATGAGTGCTCTGACGATGGGGAGAAGTTAGCAAAATGACTATATGTGTTAGGAGTAGGGCAGAAGGTGTTGAAGAATGTGTCAGGCAGGAGTACATCACGTGAGCTGTATAGAGGGTGGAGGTGGGAGAGAACATGATGCATTCCAGAAACTAAAAGAAGTTTGGCATGTTAGAAATGTAATGTGCTTGAGAGAGCATGGCAAGAAATGAGGCTAGAGAGACATTCTGGACCAGATGGAGAAGGTTCTTTGTCAGCCATTCAGAACTGTTTGGTCTTGGCATATGTATTAGTTATCTATCACTGTGTAAAAATTACTCTAAAATGTAGCTGCTGAAGACAGTATTTATTATTGCACACAATTTTTTTAAGCTACCAGTCAAGCTACCAGCTGGGGTTGCACTCATCTGAAGGCTTGACCAGGGCTTCAGGATCTGCTTCCAAAATGGCTCACAGGATTGCTGGCAGGAGGCCTCAGTTTCTCATCATGTGTGCCTCTCCTTGGAGCTGCTCATGACATGGCAGCTGGCTTTCCTCATACAAGTGATCCAGGAAAGAACAAGGAAGCAAGAGAACAACCAAGATGGAAGCCACAGTGTCTTTTGTAACCTGATCTCAGAAGTGATACATCATCAGTTTTGTCATATGCTATTGGTCACACAGACTATCCCTGGTACAGTTTGGAAGGCAACACCAGTACCAGGAATTGATAATCATTGGAGTCTAACTTGTAGACTGGCTACTATAGCCTGTATTTCTTTTTATTAATCTTAGATACATTATACTTTTATACTTCCTGGACCTACAGATTCATGTTCATTGTTGAAAATTTATAGCCATTATCTCTTTTGTTGTTGTTGAGATAAAGTCTTTCTCTGTTACCCAGGCTGGAGTGCAGTGGCACAATCATAGCTCACTGCTGCCTTGAACTCCCAGGGTCAAGTGATCCTCCTGCCTGAGCCCCCCAAGTAGCTGGGACTGCAGGTTAGCATCCAGCTAATGTGTGTATTTTTTGTAGAGACAGGGTCTCCCTATGTTGCCCAGGCTGGTCTTGAATTCCTGGGCTCAAGCAGTCTTCTCACCTCAGCCTCCCAAAGTGCTGAGATTACATGTGTGAGCCACCATGCCTGGCAACAACCATTATTTCTTCAGAAGTTCCTCTCTTTAATTATTTCTGTTCCCTCCTTCTGAGATTCTATTATTAGAAGCATGTTAGGTCTTCTATTATTCATACCCCTTAGTTTATCTATTTTTTATCTCTTCGTCTGACTCAGCATTATAGGGTAATGTCTTCAGATATGTATCTTCCAAGTCACCCATTCTCTCTTCAGCTGACTCTAATCTGCTATTTAGCCCATTCGTTAAGTTCTTTATTTCAAAAACTGTTTTCATTTTTACAAATTTGCTTTCTCCCCAAAATGTTTTTATACATTTTTTTTGGTATATTCTTGTGATTGTGCCTTAAACATTTAATATCTAGCTCTTCTGTATTCATCTGACTATTCTAACATTTATGGTTCTTGGGGATTCAAATCTGTTGTTTATTGTTTCTGCTGACTGATGCTACTTGCCTTCCCATATGCTTGTTAATTTTTAATTGTGAACTCATTATTGTATTTCTTTTTTTCTTTGAACTTTATTTTTTTTCGAGACAGGGTCTCACTCTGTCACCCATGCTGGAGTGCAGTGGCGCAATTATGGCTCACTGCAGCCTTGAACTCTTGGGTTCAAGTGATCCTCCTGCCTCAGCCTTTCAAGTAGCTGCGACAGGTAGATAACACCATGCCTGGATCATTTTTAATGTTTTATAGAGAAGGGGTCTTGCTATACAGGAGACCCAGGCTAGGGATATTGAACCCCTGTACCCAAGTGATCCTCCTGCCTCAGCCTCCCAAAATGCTGGGATTATAGGCATGAGCCACTGTGCCTGGCCTCTATGAATCTATAGGAATTCTGTGGGACTAAATTGAGAAGATTCCCTCTAAAGGGGCTTAACAACTTCTGTTTCTGCCAATAGTCAGAGCTATCTCTGACCTGGAATATTTTAGCACACCTCTTAAGGATCTCACCTCAGTATGAGAGTCCCAGGATTAGCTCCCCCACCTCACTGATGGCCCAAAGCTAGGTATTTCAGCAGCATTGCTATTGATATCAGGCCATAGGATAACCCCACCCCTCCCTGAGTGTACCCTTCTAGCCTCTGCTAACTTTTTTATTAGGGTGAGATGGCTTTTTTTCCAGGATCTGGTAATACTGCAGTGAAAGAGTAGCTTTAGTCCACCATAAAGTTTGAGAATTTGCTCTTTGTCGTAAAGATAATAGGATTATTATTGAAGAGTTTTGAATGGAGGAATGACATACTCAGTTTAGAAAAATCTATCTGGTTGCCTTGTGGGAAAAGTGTTGGACAAAAACAAACCTAGAGGCAGGAAGCTCAGTTAGGGAGCTACTAAAACATCTGCATAAGAAATGAGGCTGGTCTGGATGGAGTAGTAATCATGGGGATGAAGCAATTGTAGCTGGAATCAAGAGACATACATGTAATAAATCCAAAGGACTTGTAGATTGATTGGGTGTTGGGAATGAAGATGAAGCGGTAGAGACTGATATGGGCGAATAGGTGGATGGCAGTACCACTCATTAAGATAGGGAAGGAGGTGG